TTATTAATTTAATATCAAAACAAAAAGGACTTGTAAACCAGATTTTCTTTGTTAAAATTGTTTACATATTTTTTTCTTTTAAGTTTTTTTTTTTTAGCAAAATACTCGCACTTTAAAGATTTTATTGTAAGTTAATAGTTGAAAAACAAAATTGTTTTAATTATTAAGCATAAAAATATGTTTTTATTTATTCTTATAATTAGTTTTATAAAATAGATATATATTTTTAAGACAAAATTAGCTTTTTTATCAAATAATTGTAAAGTTTTCTATTTGATATTTAAGAAAAAATGCCATTTATATAACTCTCGTTTTAATAATTTTAAAAATAAATGTTTATTATTGCAGATTTTATATGAAATGTGTCGTCTTAAACAGCATAAACTCTAACATAATCCACTTCGAGAGCAGGTTGAGACCAGTGGGGAACCAAATATTACGATTTCTAAAGAAATTCAAGCTGCCACGAGGATCAGTATTACCCCAAGGTTGGTTCTCGGTATTGGGAAAATCACCATTGCCACCAGCCGCCAAACCCAAGGTAATGTAAACTAAAATGAAACGAAATAAAAGGAAAAATTATAGCAGAAAGTAAGTTTAAAACTTACCATTTGATCCAAGGGAGCATTAGCTTCACCCTTATTCCATATGGGTTCATTAACAATTTCCTTAAAATTAGTTTTAATCCTTCCGTATTCATTACCATCCACTGTCAAATCAATTCATCTGGTTTCCAAGTTAAAGTATACAAATGAAATTGTTCACCAAAATGTTCACCATTTGACAAAGTGGTATCCTTCATAAATTGATGTCTCATTTCGGCATCCTTGTTTAAAATAACACCACCAAATAAACGTCCACCATTAATATTTTATTTTGCCATTTCAATTCATGATTACCACGTGCATAGGCCACACGCATTTCACCGGATTTATAGTGATCACCATAGGCGGGTGTGGAGGGTTGTAAGATATTACTGCGCATAAGGAAATAATAAAGAGTTTAGATTTTTATTGTCGTTTAAAGAAATATTTCCGAATACTTACAGGGAAATAGCCAATCGCCTATGGGTAATTTGGCTCTTACCTCAATGCGCCCATATTTGAAACGAAAATGATTTTTAGTTGATAAACGTCCTGAAATAATAGGCGGCAACAGGGAAACACCACGAGGAATAAGAGAACATTCATTATCAACATTGATACTGGTACATCTGGAAGGGAAGTAGAGGAATAAGTTCATGTTTATATATCAGTTCTAAATCTGTTCAGTTCTGTTCTAGTTCAGTTCTAGTTCAGTTTTAGTTTAATTCTGAGTTCTAGTTTTCTAGTTCTAATTCAGTTCTAGTCGAGTTCAGTTCTATTTAAATTCTAGTTTAATTCTAGTTCAGTTCTAGTTCAGTTCTAGTTCAGTTCTAGTTCAGTTCTAGTTTAGTTCTAGTTCAGTTCTAGTTCAGTTCTAGTTCAGTTCTAGTTCAGTTCAGTTCAGTTCTAGTTCAGTTCTAGTTCAGTTCTAGTTCAGTTCTAGTTCAGTTCTAGTTCAGTTCTAGTTCAGTTCTAGTTCAGTTCTAGTTCAGTTCTAGTTCAGTTCTAGTTCAGTTCTAGTTCAGTTCTAGTTCAGTCTAGTTCAGTTCTAGTTCAGTTCTAGTCAGTTCTAGTTCAGTTTCTAGTTCAGTTCTAGTTCAGTTCTAGTTCAGTTTCTAGTTCAGTTTCTAGTTCAGTTCTAGTTCAGTTCTAGTTCAGTTCTAGTTCAGTTCTAGTTCAGTTCTAGTTCAGTTCTAGTTCAGTTCTAGTTCAGTTCTAGTTCAGTTCTAGTTCAGTTCTAGTTCAGTTCTAGTTCAGTTTCTAGTTCAGTTCAGTTCTAGTTCTAGTTCAGTTCTAGTTCAGTTCTAGTTCAGTTCTAGTTCAGTTCTAGTTCAGTTCTAGTTCAGTTCTAGTTCAGTTCTAGTTCTAGTTCAGTTCTAGTTCAGTTCTAGTTCAGTTCTAGTTCAGTTTCTAGTTCAGTTCTAGTTCAGTTCTAGTTCAGTTCTAGTTCAGTTCTAGTTCAGTTCTAGTTCAGTTCTAGTTCAGTTCTAGTTCTAGTTCAGTTCTAGTTCAGTTCTAGTTCAGTTCTAGTTCAGTTCTAGTTCAGTTCTAGTTCAGTTCTAGTTCAGTTCTAGTTCAGTTCTAGTTTAGTTCTAGTTCAGTTCTAGTTCAGTTCTAGTTCAGTTCTAGTTCAGTTCTAGTTCAGTTCTAGTTTTCTAGTTCAGTTCTAGTTCTAGTTCGTTCAGTTCTAGTTCAGTTCTAGTTCAGTTCTAGTTCTAGTTCAGTTCTAGTTAGTCTAGTTCAGTTCTAGTTCAGTTCTAGTTCAGTTCTAGTTCAGTTCTAGTTCAGTTTTAGTTCAGTTCTAGTTCGTTCTAGTTCAGTTCTAGTTCAGTTCTAGTTCAGTTCTAGTTCAGTTCTAGTTCAGTTCTAGTTCAGTTCTAGTTCAGTTCTAGTTCAGTTCTAGTTCAGTTCTAGTTCAGTTCTAGTTCAGTTCTAGTTCAGTTCTAGTTCAGTTCTAGTTCAGTTCTAGTTCAGTTCTAGTTCAGTTCTAGTTCAGTTCTAGTTCAGTTCTAGTTCAGTTCTAGTTCAGTTCTAGTTCAGTTCTAGTTCAGTTCTAGTTCAGTTCTAGTTCAGTTTAGTTCAGTTCTAGTTCAGTTCTAGTTCAGTTCTTTCAGTTCTAGTTCAGTTCTAGTTCAGTTCTAGTCAGTTCTAGTTCGTTCTAGTTCAGTTTCTAGTTCTAGTTCAGTTCTAGTTCAGTTCTAGTTCAGTTCTAGTTCAGTTCTAGTTCAGTTCTAGTTCTAGTTCAGTTCTAGTTCTAGTTCAGTTCTAGTTAGTTCTAGTTCAGTTCTAGTTCAGTTCTAGTTCAGTTCTAGTTCAGTTCTAGTTCAGTTCTAGTTCAGTTCTAGTTCAGTTCTAGTTCAGTTCTAGTTCAGTTTCTAGTTCAGTTCTAGTTCAGTTCTAGTTCAGTTCTAGTTCAGTTCTAGTTCAGTTCTAGTTCTAGTTCAGTTCTAGTTCAGTTCTAGTTCAGTTCTAGTTCAGTTCTAGTTCAGTTCTAGTTCAGTTCTAGTTCAGTTCTAGTTCAGTTCTAGTTCAGTTCTAGTTCAGTTCTAGTTCAGTTTCTAGTTCAGTTCTAGTTTAGTTCTAGTTTCAGTTCTAGTTCAGTTCGTTCTTTCTAGTTCAGTTTCTAGTTCAGTTTCTAGTTCAGTTCTAGTTCAGTTCTAGTTCAGTCTAGTTCAGTTCTAGTTCAGTTCTAGTTCAGTTCTAGTTCAGTTCTAGTTCAGTTCTAGTTCAGTTCTAGTTCAGTTCTAGTTCAGTTCTAGTTCAGTTCTAGTTCAGTTTCTAGTTCAGTTCTAGTTCAGTTCTAGTTCAGTTCTAGTTCAGTTCTAGTTCAGTTCTAGTTCAGTTCTAGTTCAGTTCTAGTTCAGTTCTAGTTCAGTCTAGTTCAGTTCTAGTTCAGTTCTAGTTCAGTTCTAGTTCAGTTCTAGTTCAGTTCTAGTTCAGTTCTAGTTCAGTTTCTAGTTCATTTCTAGTTCAGTTAGTTCAGTTCTAGTTCTTTCAGTTCAGTTCTAGTTCAGTTCTAGTTCAGTTCTAGTTCAGTTCTAGTTCAGTTTCTAGTTCAGTTCTAGTTCAGTTCTAGTTCAGTTCTAGTTCAGTTCTAGTTCAGTTCTAGTTCAGTTCTAGTTCAGTTCTAGTTCAGTCTAGTTCAGTTTAGTTCAGTTCTAGTTTCAGTTCTAGTTCAGTTCTAATTCTAGTTTAGAGTTCTAATTCAGTTCTAGTTCAGTTCTAGTTCATTCTAGTTCAGTTCTAGTTCAATTCTATTCAGTTAGTTCAGTTCTATCAGTTCTAGTTCAGTTCTAGATAATTTATCTTTAATTAAAGATCTTAATATAGTCAACGTTTTTACTTACCTATGTCCCAAATCATCAATAGTATCCTTTTTTAAATCTTATGTTCACAACTGGCCTCGATTCTCAGTATACCACCCTCTACGTTCGCAGTACCATTGTATAAAAAAATTCAGCATCATCAATGGTGGGTGGAAAACGTACTTCATTCGTCCAATATTTCGCGTTTAAAGTATCAAAATTATCCGAAAATATTAAATCATCACGACAATAAGGACCACCAAATGATCTGGGAACTTCGGAAACAGTAGGACGGCATATTTTATTTCTAAAGTAACATCAATTGTTCGTTTAGTAGACGATTCTGTTGATGTTTCACCAGAAGTATCAGGTGCCGTGGTAGTTAATTCTATAATTAGGATTACCACTTTTGAAAGCCTCCACAGAAATGGGATCTTTTTATCGCGAAATATTAAACGATTATGCTGAACAGCCATCCAAACATAACAATGTCATTGTACTGCAGTTTCTTGTCAAACTCAACCGTCCACTTTTTATTCGTGGTATACTAGCTGTACCGGTGTATTGAACCCGTTTCAAAGGAGCGAAATGCTTTATTAATATTAACATGAAAAGATACCCACTTGATGTCGGGATCATCTAAATATTTATGAAAAAATTACATATTTAAGTATGTATAAACAACGTCATTATTTAGGTATTCAGTATTTTTCCCCCTACTTACTTGGTATGGATAGAGTAAATTTATCTCCAATTATATTAAATTCTGCCGGTTGTATGGTAAAGGTACAGCCCCCATCCTGCTAGATTTACCAGTAATATTATAGATAATAGATTTCTTCATAACGTTTAGTATAATACTTTTTTGCGATCCAATTATATTTGTAGTTAATAGCGCTTAATCTAAGTATCTACCTTTAACTGCGAGTGCTGGGCTTATACTAACTAAATAAAAAAGAGATAATTCTTGAACATTGATTATATTGTTTGTTATTTTTTTGTTTTAAACTGGAAATTCCTTCTTTATTATCAATTTAAGTCGAAATTTGTAAGTTTAGAAAGAGAGTAATTTTAGTGCAAGACTTGTTTGCGTTTAATTACTCTGAGGAGTATGCAATCAGGTTTATAGGTTTAAATACTAGATGATAGTGAATACCCTATATAAAGATTTATAATTGAAGCTAGAACTGAAGTTAAACTGAACTAGAACCGTTGAATTGAACTAGAGTTGAATAGAACTGAACTAGAACAGAACTAGAACTGAACTAAAACTGAACTGAACAGAACTAGAATGAACTAGAACTGAACTAGAACTGAACTAGAACTACAACTGAACTAACCTGAACTGAACTAGAACTGAACTAAAACTGAACTAGAACTGAACTAGAACTTGAACTAGAACTGAACTAGAACTGAACTAGAACTGAACTAGAACTGAACTAGAACTGAACTAGAACTGAACTAGAACTGAACTAGAACTGAACTAGAACTTGAACTAGAACTGAACTAGAACTGAACTAGAACTGAACTAGAACTGAACTAGAACTGAACTAGAACTGAACTAGAACTGAACTAGAACTGAACTAGAACTGAACTAGAACTGAACTAGAACTGAACTAGAACTGAACTAGAACTGAACTAGAACTGAACTAAACTGAACTAGAACTGAACTAGAACTGAACTAGAACTGAACTAGAACTGAACTAGAACTAACTAGAACTGAACTAGAACTGAACTAGAACTGAACTAGAACTGAACTAACTGAACTAGAACGAACTAGAACTGAACTAGAATGAACTAGAACTGAACTAGAACTGAACTAGAACTGAACTAGAACTGAACTAGAACTGAACTAGAACTGAACTGAACTTGAACTAGAACTGAACTAGAACTGAACTAGACTGAACTAGAACTGAACTAGAACTGAACTAGAACTGAACTAGAACTGAACTAGAACTGAACTAGAACTGAACTAGAACTGAACTAGAACTGAACTAGAACTGAACTAGAACTGAACTAGAACTGAACTAGAACTGAACTAGAACTGAACTAGAACTGAACTAGAACTGAACTAGAACTGAACTAGAACTGAACTAGAACTGAACTAACTGAACTAGAACTGAACTAGAACTGAACTAGAACTGAACTAGAACTGAACTAGAACTGAACAGAACTGAACTAGAACTGAACTAGAACTGAACTAGAACTGAACTGAACTAGAACTAACTAGAACTGAACTAGAACTGAACTAGAACTGAACTAGAACTGAACTAGAACTGAACTAGAACTGAACTAGAACTGAACTAGACTGAACTAGAACTGAACTAGAACTGAACTAGAACTGAACTAGAACTAGAAACTAGAACTGAACTAGACTGAACTAGAACTGAACTAGAACTGAACTAGAACTGAACTAGAACTGAACTAGAACTGAACTAGAACTGAACTAGAACTGAACTAGAACTGAAGAACTGAACTAGAACTAGAACTGAACTAGAACTGAACTAGAACTGAACTAGAACTGAACTAGAACTGAACTAGAACTGAACTAGAACTGAACTAGAACTGAACTAGAACTGAACTAGAACTGAACTAGAACTGAACTAGAACTGAACTAGAACTGAACTAGAACTGAACTAGAACTGAACTAGAACTGAACTAGAACTGAACTAGAACTGAACTAGAACTGAACTAGACTGAACTAGAACTGAACTAGAACTGAACTAGAACTAACTAAACTAGAACTGAACTAGAACTGAACTAGAACTGAACTAGAACTGAACTAGAACTGAACTAGAACTGAACTAGAACTGAACTAGAACCGAACTAGAACTGAACTAGAACTGAACTAGAATGAACTCGAACTGACTGACTAGAACTAGAACTGAACTGAACTAGAACTGAACTAGAACTGAAATAGAACTGACTGACTAATAGAACTGACTAAACTGAACTAGAACTGAACTAGAACTGAACTAGAACTGAACTAGAACTGAACTAGAACTAGAACTGAACTAGAACTGAACTAGAACTGAACTAGAACTGAACTAGAACTGAACTAGAACTGAACTAGAACTGAACTAGAACTGACTAGAACTGAACTAGAACTGAACAGAACTGAACTAGAACTGAACTAGAACTGAACTAGAACTGAACTAGAACTGAACTAGAACTGAACTAGAACTGAACTAGAACTGAACTAGAACTGAACTAAACTGAACTAGAACTGACCTGAACTGAACTAGAACTGAACTAGAACTAGAAATGAACAAAACTAGAGCTGAACTAGAACTGAACTAGAACTAAAACTGAACTAGAACTGAACTAGAACTGAACTAGAACTGAACTAGAACTGAACTAGAACTGAACTAGAACTGAACTAGAACTGAACTAGAACTGAACTAGAACTGAACTAGAACTGAACTAGAACTGAACTAGAACTGAACTAGAACTGAACTAGAACTGAACTAGAACTGAACTAGAACTGAACTAGAACTGAACTAGAACTGAACTAGAACTGAACTAGAACTGAACTAGAACTGACTAGAACTGAACTAGAACTGAACTAGAACTGAACTAGAACTGAACTAGAACTGAACTAGAACTGAACTAGAACTGAAATAGAACTGAGCTTGCACATTAATAGAACTGAGATAGAACTGAACTAGAACTCAATTAACGACATAACTAGAATGACCTAAAGCTTGAACTAGAACTGAACTAGAACTTTATTTTTTCATAATTACGGTACAAAACTTATTTACTAAACCCGTAAAATTTCATTAAAGTTCTTAAAAAAAATCCCCTTTTATTAAGCAGCTTAAAGAAATACTCTCTGATTTAAACAACGTTTTATATACAATTCTTGTATGGCTTCAAATCAACGCTCTCCAAGTCAAGTTCAAAGCTCTCAATATACTCTCAATATAACAAAACAAGTTTAAAAAAACCGGGCTCCCATACATATTGAGGAGCACAATAATAGTATCAAACATCTTATTTTGTCTTTACAAGTTAGTCACAGTTATCAAGTCTTAAATAAAGAACACGCTATTTTTTCGCAAAGACGCAATCTTTGTGTTTTTTTTTATAATAATTAGAAATCACAAACAAAAGATGATAAAGTTTGTAATTTAATTATAATCAATAGTATTCTTTTCTTTACATTTGTTTATGTTATGAAGTACCTAATGTTGAATTAAATTAATAGATAAGGGATTTTCTCTAACTTTAAAAGGTAAATATTGGAGAATTTGGAAAAAAAAAAGTTAAAGAACTTTTGAGAAAAACCGGAAATGTATTATAAACTTTGTTATAAAAGTGAATAAAATATTAAAAATCTAAAATAATATGTAATTAATTAAGTAATTTTTTATTTAACAAAACAAAAAAAAAAAACAAAAAATCAAATTATTAAAACTTAATTTTTCTAGGGGACTTACAATAATAAACTATTAGTAAAGTTATTGAGTTACTGTGGGAAAAGTGCTTATAAACCATAAATAAACTATTGATAACTTTATGAATAACGATTTTCTGAAATAGATCTAAACTAGAACTAAACTAAAACTAAATTAGAACTTTACTAGAACTAAACTGTAGAATTTTAAAGTTTTGTACCTTTATAGTAATGTATTAAGCAAATTCTATACATTTTCAGATGAACCGGGTCTAAAACAAGTTTTTTACATTATCAAAATAAACGATGAGTGTCCTACGCTAATGGACTTACTCTTTGAACCTCAACCTGACTGGACAACAACACAACATCAAAAGTTCTAACATCTCAAGATAAAGTAAACATTTCATTATTGGTAAATTATCGCGGAGAGGCCTATACGTCCTATCAATATATAGTAATTGGAGAGAATACGATTGGCATTAAGGCGACACCAAGTCCTCAGAAAAATGAAGACAATTGTGAGAACACACGGGTCGAGGTAAAATGTGAAAAAGCCCAAACGATCGTCTTAGGTATATCCAATATATGCCAAGGTCAATTGATATTCGAAGATAATTTCAATAATTCGCAATTAAATATGAAACTAAATGGCGATACTGATATAAGACATCGTTTGATTGGTACCGATTCGGAAGAATTTGTAGTATTCGATAATCATCCCGAAAATATTTTCATACATGAGGGCTATTTAAATATACGACCCAAAGTGACACAAGAGAATATGAAGGAGGCTAAATTGAATTTTGGTTCTAGGTGTACGGCATTTGCCAATCGTAAAAGGAATGTGAACTAATACCTCAAGCACATTTCATATTTGTACCACCTTTCAATTCATCACAAATTTTACCAAAGACTCGTTTCAATTTCAATATGGAAGAATTGAGGTTAAGGCGAAACTACCAAAAGGTGAATGGATATTACCGTGTAAGTTTCTTTAAAGATTTCTTAGATTAACCCGGAATTAAGTAAATTTTGCAAAATTTCATTTTCCCTAAACTAGATTTGATGTTACGAAACGATGATGCTTTGAATGAAAAGCAAATACACATAGCCTTTGCCCGAGGTAATGAAGAACTATTGACCTCCGATAATATCGATCTAAGTGGTAAAATTTATATGCTGGCATTGTAAGTGATGTAGAGAAAAATGAAACAAATTTTAAACAAACAGCCTCGAATGAACATTTTGGCAATGATTTTCATATTTATAACCTTGATTTGGAAATCAAATGAAATCACCATGGAAGTGGATGGTGTTAAATATGGCACAATTACAGGGAATTTAGGAACAGTTAAATACAATTAATAATTTCGTAAGTATACTTATACGACTTTTCCTTATTATCTTGTTCTGCAGACACAATTTTGTTAAGGGTTCGAGGACCATTGTTTATAAACATCTTTTCTTTTAGTTCTTCATTACTTTTGGCGTTTCCGTGGGTGGCCATATATATTTTCCGATAATTTACAGCAGCCAGATAATAAGCCCTGGTCTAATACCTCTCCCAGATCGATACGTGATTTCTGGCGTTATATAAATAGTGGCAAATTAAAATGGTCCGGTAATGAGACTTACAAATTGACTACGTTAAAGTTTATGCTATCTAATCGTTTAAGGAAATAGCAGCAATTGTGATACTTAAATTTTATTATAAAAGTTTTTTTTTAAATGAAAATAAGAGACTAAATGTAAAGGGTTTTAATAAAGTAATCTTTTCCAACAATTTCAGAAACTAATATCTTCTAATATAATTTATTATCAATTATGTTCTAATCGGTCCTAATTTATAAAATAGTTAGCTATGTTAGTATGTTTATAGTCTAGTCTAGTCTATAGTCTAGTCTATAGTCTAGTCTATAGTCTAGTCTATAGTCTAGTCTATATCAGTCTATAGTCTAGTCTATAGTCTAGTCTATAGTCTAGTCTAGTCTAGTCTTAGTCTATAGTCTAGTCTAGTCTAGTCTATAGTCAGTCTAATCTATATTATAGTCTATATTCTAATCTATAGTCTAGTCTATAGTTTAGTCTACACTCTAGTCTATAGTCTAGTCTATAGTTTAGTCTATATTCTAGTTTATAGTCTAGTCTATAGTCTAGTCTATAGTCTAGTCTATAGTCTAGTCTATAGTCTAGTCTATAGTCTAGTCTATAGTCTAGTCTATAGTCTAGTCTATAGTCTAGTCTATAGTCTAATCTATATTCTAGTCTATAGTCTCGTCTATAGTCTAGTCTATAGTCTAGTCTATAGTCTAGTCTATAGTCTAGTCTATAGTCTAGTCTATAGTCTAGTCTATAGTCTAGTCTATAGTCTAGTCTATAGTCTAGTCTATAGTCTAGTCTATAGTCTAGTCTATATAGTCTAGTCTATAGTCTAGTCTATAGTCTAGTCTAGTCTAGTATAGTCTAGTCTATAGTCTAGTCTATAGTCTAGTCTATAGTCTAGTCTATAGTCTAGTCTATAGTCTAGTCTATAGTCTAGTCTATAGTCTAGTCTATAGTCTAGTCTAGTCTATATTCTAGTCTATAGTCTAGTCTATATTCTAGTCTATAGTCTAGTCTAGTCTAGTCTATAGTCTAGTCCATAGTCTAGTCCATAGTCTAGTCTAGTCTATAGTCTAGTCCATAGTCTAGTCCATAGTCTAGTCTATAGTCTAGTCTATAGTCTAGTCTATAGTCTAGTCTATAGTCTAGTCTATAGTCTAGTGTATAGTCTAATCTATATTCTAGTCTATATTCTAGTCTATAGTCTAGTCTATAGTCTAGTCTATAGTCTAGTCCATAGTCTAGTCTATAGTCTAGTCTATAGTCTAGTATATAGTCTAGTCTATAGTCTAGTATATAGTCTAGTATATAGTCTAGTATATAGTCTAGTATAGTCTAGTATATGTAGTATATAGTCTATAGTCTAGTCTAGTCTATAGTCTAGTCTATAGTCTAGTCTATAGTCTAGTCTATAGTCTAGTCTATAGTCTAGTCTATAGTCTAGTCTATAGTCTAGTCTATAGTCTAGTCTATAGTCTAGTCTATAGTCTAGTCTATAGTCTAGTCTATAGTCTAGTCTATAGTCTAGTCTATAGACTAGTCTATAGTCTAGTCTATAGTCTAGTCTATAGTCTAGTCTATAGTCTAGTCTATAGTCTAGTCTATAGTCTAGTCTATAGTCTAGTCTACACTCTAGTCTATAGTCTAGTCTATAGTCTAGTCTATAGTCTAGTCTATAGTCTAGTCTATAGTCTAGTCTATAGTCTAGTCTATAGTCTAGTCTATAGTCTAGTTATAGTCTAGTCTATAGTCTAGTCTATAGTCTAGTCTATAGTCTAGTCTATAGTCTAGTCTATAGTCTAGTCTATAGTCTAGTCTATAGTCTAGTCTATAGTCTAATCTATAGTCTAGTCTATAGTCTAGTCTATAGTCTAGTCTATAGTTTAGTCTATAGTCTAGCCTATAGTCTAGTCTATAGTCTAGTCTATAGTCTAATCTATAGTCTGGTCTAGTATAGTCTACTATATAGTATAGTCTACAGTCTAGTCTATAGTCTTGTCTATAGTTTAGTCTAAAGTCTAGTTAAGAGTTTATTCTAATCTATAGGCCATTCTATTCTAAGCCTAGTCCTTACTCTAGAGTCTAGACTATGGAAAAATGTTCATGTTAGAAATAAAAATAAATAAAAATAAATATTGTTAACCTAGGTAACGCTTTCAACTTTTTGCCATTACTATGGCAGCCCAAACAAAAAAAACCTTTAGAAAAGATTGTTCGATAACGCACTATAAGGAAAACTAAAGTCCTTATTTGGCAACCTTTTACACAGTTATACTTTGGTTTTCATTCTTATCAAAAACTCAAAATATCGGTTTTAGAAATAAAATATATTTTAAAATTTTTACTATATTTTCCATTAAAAGAAACCTATTTACAAAATGCCCTGTTTCTCGGCCTATAATAGACGTTCTTATGAACCATTGTTGGGTGATAGACCTGTACCTAGAGCAAAAACTGCTGGCCGTTCGGGTGCTTACACTTCTCAAGGGGCACAAAAGGAGTCTGCGGTAAGAACCGGCAATGCCGTAAAGAGAAATCGTTTTAAGATAGAGAAAAAAGTTGCGCTCCCAGTGCAGGAGTTTAACCGTTTAAAAACTGCTGCCAAAGTTTTAACACTAGAAGACCGTTTGAATGCTCTTATGTTGAGGGAGCAGGAAATGAAACGTTTGGAAGAGGAAACCGAACGTACCAAACAATATTTCAAGCAAATCGATGAGGCACGCAAAAAGAAGGAAGAAGAGAATAGCAGGGATATCGAGGGACAAGAACCTAAGGAACAGCTTAAGGTTTTGGAAAGAGCTTTCTGAGCCAAACACGAACAGGAAGAGGAGGTGAAAAAAAGCCAATCGCATTATATTGATGCCAAATGTCATGCGGTACGTGATGCCCAGGTGCAAGAGAAATATGAGCTACAAAAAGAATTGAGAAAAGATGAGCAACGTCTGGAGAAACAAGTTATCGATCGCGCTAAGAAAGGCTTAAGTGAAGAGGATGGCCAAATATGAAAGGCTACATGAGGAGAAACAAAAATATGCCCATGAGATTAGAAACAATATAATGAACGGGAAAATGCTAGATTTCTAGAAGCAGAAACGCATTGAGAGGAAGCTATATGCTGCGCAAAGCCAATGAAGCTATTAAGAGAGACGAAGAGAGACAAGCAAAATGGACAAAGAGAGGCGTTTTAAAATATCGTGATGACTTGGCCAAAGTGGTAGAAATGTCCACCACTTTCAGGCGCATGCTGTGCGAGCAAGAGCGTGAGGCGGAAATGAGAATAGCAGCCTATATGAGAGCCAAAGAAGAACGCATGAAAGCATTACAGGCTGAACAAAAGTTAGCCAAAGAAGAATTGGAACGCAAGCAACAGCGTATTTATAATTTGGCAGAGAAAATCTTACAATCAAAATCCGATCGTGAAGAAATGTCTTACCTCAGAGAACAGGAGAGATTGAGAGAGAATATCGCCGCAAAGAAAAAGAAGCTGCCATGCGAAAAAAAACAAATCGAAAAAGAGTTGGCCGAGGCTCGAGAACGTCAAATGCAGGAAACCAAACATCGTCAGGCTTTACAAATCGCCAGAGCCGAACAAGAGTTCAATACTCTCATTGACACACTAAAAGAGGCCGAAGCTAAGCAAAAACGTGAGGATGAACTGAGGGAATGTCGTCGTAAATGTTATCGTCGTGATATTATCCAACAAATCGGTGATAATGAAATGAAACGTCGCAGTTTGCAGGAATTGGAAAAGAATCAAGCATCAGCTTGGCGTGAAAGTGAACGACAACGTGACGCCAATATAAGAGCGGTAATAACGGCTAAATTGAATGCTATGCGTGAGGCTTGTTTGCCCGATAAATACATTAAGGATGTGGAAAAACAATTGTCTCGAATAGTGGGCAAAGATAAAACTCTACCTAAGTTGGCTTCGTAAGCGTATAGAATCACGTACTCTGGGCATAATGTTTGTCAAATTAAAATGCAGCAACTGTTCTTGGACTAATCGGTTTAGTAGTTTTAGGTAAAAATTAAATTTTTGTAAAATTTTTAAATTTTTTCCGGGAATCCTTTTAATTTGACTTATTTTATGACCAGATTGGATCTGAATTCTATTCGGGGAATAATTTATGAATTATTTTTCAATAATAAAGAAGCACTTTTCAGAATAATCACAAAAATTATTGTTTTTAATTAAAATTTGCATAAAGTTGTTCAATATCTAAAGAAACTCCTTTTATAAAGAAAACAAGTAAGAAATTATAGTCGGGCGAGGCCGACCATATAATACCCTACACCTTTGACAAAAATATAATGTGATTTAATTGCCATAATAAAGCATTTAAGTTGAATTGTACCTTGCCTTAGATATACATACTTAAGCCGTTTACTGTTGAATAAAATTGTGGACATTTAAGTGAAATTTTGATGGGGGGGCTTTTCATAGGGGCTAGGGTAATATGAGAACCTATTATTATGGAATTCGTGAGGGTCATCAAGTCTTGTATACAACTTGGTTTTTGCAGCTTTTTGTCGAGATATGAGTATATTAAACATAATTATGAACTTAAAAGCCCTATTCGAGGGGTTCAGTTGTATGGGGGCTAGGTGAAATAATGGACCGATGTTAACCATTTTCAATAGGCTTCGTCTACGATACCATAAAGATCATGTGCCAAATTTCATTGAATTATCTCCAAAATTGCGACCTGTAGTTTGATTACAAGGATTACAAGCCCTATTGGGGGGTTCAGTTGTATGGGGCTAGGTGAAATAATGGACCGATGGTAACCATTTTCAAAATACTTCGTCTACGGTACCATAAAAGATCATGTGCCAAATTTCATTGAATTATCTCCAAAATTGCGACCTGTAGTTTAATTACAAATTTTAAAAGCCCTATTCGAGGGGTTCAGTTGTATGGGGGCTAGGTGAAATAATGGACCGATGTTAACCATTTTCAATAGGCTTCGTCTACGATACCATAAAAGATCATGTACCAAATTTCATTGAATTATCTCCAAAATTGCGACCTGAACCCCCCAAGCCCTATTGGGGGGTTCAGTTGTATGGGGGGCTAGGTGAAATAATGGACCGATCTTAACCATTTTCAATAGCTTCGTCCCTGAGACAATAGAAGATCATGTACCAAATTTCATTGAATTATCTTCAAAATTGCGACCTGTAGTTTGATTACAAGGTTTACATGGACGGACGGACGGACATAGCTAAATCGACTCAGAAAATGATTCACTAAAGTGGTGTAGGGTATAATTAGTTCAAAATGGAAGGAACTTTTCTTAAGAAATGTTACTCAATATAGAATGAACTATCTATCTCTCAAACGGCATCTGCCTCCAATTATCAAGACTTTATAAAAACTTTCTAATGAAAAATTATTTCAAATTGAACTTTTCTAAATACAGATACAAAATCTGTCAAATCTGTTTTCAAGGAAGGATTTTCTACCGAAAATTTTGTTTATAAAATCGTTCTAAAGAAACCTTAAAAGCTTAAAAGGTAAATATATTTAAATACAAAATACTACTTAAAGTTTTCATTTTCAATTCGTAATTTTTAATTTAACAAGTTTTTTTTTCCGAAAACATCATCATCAATCTCTCTTGTTGTTTACAAATCTAAATAAATACCAAGTTAATTAATATTCCTTACAATTTACACATTTATATATATATAAAAAAGAAAAGAAATCTAAAGATTAAATTATTGATATTGTACAACTGTAAATATAAATATCATTTACAAACTAAAATATAATATACATTTAATATAAATTAAACTAAATAGTAGTTGTTAAAAAAAAAAGAAGAAATTACATGTTTTTGTTTCACTATAGCGTAATAATTAATAATTTTTGTTTTCTTGTCCTAGTACATGGTACATGTTCATTGGTGGTAGGAGAGCAGCAGCAAGCTCATACACTAAAAACGCATTTGGCATACGTTTGTATTTTTTTTTAGTATTGAATGAAACGTTTTAGAATGTTTTGCCATTATTTTTCTTGGAACCATTGTTGCGGGAATTTTGACTTGACTTCTTGCGTCGTTTCTCCGACGACCAGTCAACATCGTCCTCGTCATCACTGCCGGCATTTGTTTGCAGGTACGACGAGGAGGAAGACGAGCTAGCACTGTTGCTCTCCTTGGTGGCCAGACGACGGCTAGCTATGCGTGACGATATACGACCCATGCCCATACACTTTTCCAGGTGGGGAGCAAAGCGAGCCGCCGACACAGGCCTATCACAGTTGGGGCAGGTGCAGTCCATGGGTTTCTTGGCGGTGGAAATGCCAAATATATCAAAATTTGGCATATCAACAATGCGAAATGATGAGGTCTCGGCTTCTTCGTCGGCACTCCATCGAGTGCTGTCAAATTCCCAGTCTTGCGTAAATGATGTATTTCAATAAAGACACCTACAATGGCATCGTCTAACAGCGTCTGATATAAATAGTTGGCAGCCTCGTCAAGACTTTTGGGATCTTTAACAATTTCTCGATACGATTTGAGAATGGCAGCTGTTGAGGTATTGGCATTCTGTGTTGTTGTTGTTGCATTATTAGACTTTTCGTTACCAGCAGGAACTTTCGATGAGGACGTTGAATTTGTTGTTTTATTACCACTATTATTGGAGGATGCAGTATTATTATTATTCGGAGCGCCGGTTGACATCTCTTTTAATTTGTTATAAATTTTTGTGTTTTCTATACAAATACAATGAAAGAAAAACTCTTAAAAAGTTTACATTTTTTGCTGATGTCTTTTCAGAGCCCTGCGTCGACAAATATTACGGCGGTTTAAAATCGACTGTAAGCCGGCTAAATTTTCAACAACGTTTAGTTTTTAAATTTTCAACGATTTTAAATAATAACGGCATCCAAGATATTTTGGAAGCAAATATATTGTTTATAACAACAAAACAGAGCAAGCACAAAAGTTGTGTGAGACATTATACAGGGATAGATGGAAATTTGGTAGACATATTTAGTTCCAACAAAAATTGTTTTATTATGGCAGCGACATGATTTTCGATTTTAGTTTTTCTTATAGAAATCGATAATTTAGGTCTATTAGCATCATCTCTGAAAATTTCGTAGCTATAGATCCAACAGATTCAACTTTACAAGATAAAGAAAAAGACGTAAGTACACATTTATTTCTGTTTATTAATTTAAATTTAATTCGATTTGATATTTATATAATGCATACTCAGATGATCTTTGGTATTATTAAAATTGTGATGATCCCAAGGAACCAACCAATTGATACCTTCAGATAAACGTTTTTTTTTTTTTTTTTTGATAAATGATTCATACCCAATAAGCACTCAAAAATTATGATTTTTGAAATTTAACTGGATTTCAACTTTAATTCCAATTGTTGAGGTAGCAGGCTGTATCCATAATTGGTGTCCATGTGGCCGAATATGTCGTGGTTTCGCCGGCGTTTGATGTTGATAGTGTTTGTATAGTGGTTTCTCAATTGTGTGTCCTTGTTTTCTTGTTTGGTTTTCTTGTGATGGTTGTGTGTCTTGTAGTGGAGTGGGTTTAAATTTTTTTTGTGTTTGGTTTTATTTGGCACTATGTTGATTTTTCTTTTAAAATGTTTTCCTTTTTGTTTAATTTGATTGTTATAACCCTACAAGAAATGTATGACCGAAACTAACACATGCAAAATGATTTTACTAACACACTTGCAACATTTTTCTTTAAAAATTACTAAAAAAAAATAGTTAATGGATAATTCCATCAATAATGACGGTCAAATGACCGGTAAAATGACTGTGATTTACTCAATGTGTGATAAAGGGTTTCATTTGCATATGAAAGAGTGAAACAACTACATTTGACTGTCACTGTGTTTTCGTCGCATAAATTAATTATTTCAGTGAAAGCCAAAGATCAAAAAGCAAAAAATTAAAAAATTTAAGACTAAAATTATTAAAAATAAAGAGATTTATTGTAATTTAAAAACGGTGCAGGAAGTGGAGCTGAGAATATACACTTCGGAGTTTAATCTATCTGTGGTAATATGAATACATATTTACTTTTAATTTTTATATTTCAATATTTATATGCATTTCTTTACAGACAATTTATTTCCTAAAATTAAAAGGAGCATAGGAGGATTTTACATTCTGTGAGGTATGTAAAATGGTGAAATGGTAGTTAATTTATGTATATGCTTACTATGTATATTAATAAAATTAAAAATATATATCTTAAAATGTTAATAAATTGTGTTTTATTATAATTGGCATAGCCGTCAGATTTGACGGATAAATTCATCAAGTGTGATTGGTCAACTGTGATGGATATATCCATAAAGAATGATTAGTCAATCGTGACTAACATTTCCATCATCCTTGATTGGTAAAAAGCAAAAGAGTGAGCAGCTCAAATATATGTTTTAAAATCGGTAGAATTCATAAGTGCAAGGGAGATGCAAGATCACATGTACACAAAGTTTCCATCAATTTTTCATATTGCCCTTAAGAACTTGATAGAAACTTTGTTCTACGCAGTGATTGATATTTCCTTCACTAGTGTCAGTCAAATGACCGGTCAAATGACTGTCACTGTTCTTGTAGGGAAATGTTTACTATTGTTAAAAAAGGTAAATGTCAAAATGTTTACAGGGTGATTCGGATAATAGATTTATTACTACGACAATAGGGTTACCACTGTTGCCAACTTTTTTCCCAAAAATATCGCTAAAGTTGACTGAAAAATAGCTAGAAAATAGCTAAATTCAAGACATTTATAAAAATTTAGCGATAAATCGTCAAAATAATATTTTTGTATAAAATTCTGAAAAAAATAGCTAAAAACTAGCTAAATTTTTCTGATTTTTTTATATTATTCTAAATGTTAGCGATTTATCGCTAAAATATATATACATACATAGGAATGAGTAGGTACTGAGTACACATCTTATAACAAGCACATGAGAGAATCTTTTTGTGTTAAATATTTTTCAGTTTGGGTTAGGAAAAATGTAGTAAATTTTATGTTAATTTCGATATGCGACACTATACAGATCGCTTTAGAAATGTTGTAAAGTTAAAGTGAATTTCGAAATGTTGCCCTATTCGGCATAAGAGTAATTATACCCTACACCCTTTTGTGGGGAGTTTATCTGCAATATCGATAAGGCCCTATACGCCTCAGAAATGTTGTAAAGTTGTAGAAATTTATAGATCGATCCTTTCGTCATTTATTTCCACTGTTCACTATTTTTTAGAATTATAGTGAATTTTATTATCATGTCAGTCATTTACTAAAAGACTAGAATACTTAATATTCGTTTTTTAATTGAGTACAGTAAAATATACCCCTTCTAAAGTTTTTTGTATAACTTTACTTGTTTATTACCTCAAAAATGTTTATTATTTTTGGCGCAAGAGTAATTATACCCTACAACCCTTTGGGCACTTTATCTCCAATAACTTGATAAATTATTTCGGTTTAAGGTGAAATTTCACACAATATTTTATTTTATTATAAGGAATAAATCACTGTTCTAAATATAATCATTACCGGTATGCTTCTAATTATGTTCTTCAGACATTCAAAATAACCTGTATAATACATACAGCTGTTAAGTTACTGACTAAAATTCAAAGAATTGCATTGAATGCATATTGTTATATACATATAAATATCGTCATTTGTAGCAAATTTTAAGCGATATTATCAAAATATAAATGTATTAAAAATACATTAAAATCTAAAGAAAATCGCTAGATTTCCCGCTAATAGCTAAATCATATTTTTTCCCGCAAAATGAGATTAAAAATCGCTAGATTTGACGAGAAAATAGCTAAATTGGCAACAGTGAGGGTTACCAAGTGATAGAAAAGAGAAGGAAGAGAAATATGAACAGTATAAAAAAAGCAACAAAAATTTTCTCTTAAATAAAAGACAATTTTCAAGGCCAAGGCTAAAAGTACATTGAACCAAACGGTGCTGATGTCCACTATGTTATGACTATACGTTATATTTATTTTGTTAGTTATTGTTGGTATGTTTTTTTAGTTACTTTTCTTATGTGAAATAAAAAAAAATGTCAGTAGTTGGACATCAGAAGTATTTAATAATGCACAGTCTACAATCTGAAGCTTTTAAATAAACATCTTAAAAGAGCGTTAAAAAGGTTATAATCGGAGGTTAATAAATAAGAAATAATACTTACATAGTGAACAGTGACTTTAGTAAAGAAAGTTTGAAAACTCTTTGAAATTGTTTAGTTTGAATATAAAGAAAACCTGTGAGTATTAAAGTGAAAATGCTTTCAAGGAAAAATGTATTCAATTATAACATTTTGCTATTGTTTCAATGAAATAGATATTGTGCCAGAGGAGTAGGAAGCCTCACGTTGAAGTGGAAAATTCACAGACTGCGGCGATTCCTGTAAAACTATCCTTTAGGACATATAAATATTTGAAAAAATATATTCAACAAAATTTAAAATAAACAGAAGGTAATACGGTTCACATTAAACTTTGTCATAATATATGGTTGACCCCGTAATTGAACAACAAAAGAAAAACTACGCCACCTACTTGTGAAAAAGTGAGAATTGATATTAGTCCCCCAAAGACCAGAACCTTTATTCAGGATCAAAACCGAAAGAAAAGGTGAAATTTGATTTTATAGCAAAAAGGCATTTGGGTAGTTCTGTATAGGGTAGGATAAGTTATTACATTTTTATACCCACCATCAAAAAAGATGGTGGGTATTGTTTTTGTCATTCCGTTTGTAACACAATCGAAATATTCATCTAAGACCCATAAAAGTATATATATTCTGGATCCTTATTAAATTCTAAGACGATCTAGCCATGTCCGTCCGTCTGTCCGTCGGTCCGTCTGTCTGTCCGTCTGTCTGTCCGTCGGTCCGTCTGTCTGTCCGTCTGTCTGTCCCGTCTGTTGAAAACACGATAGAGTCCAAACGGAAGCAGCTAACGAGCTGAAATTTTGCACAAATATTTTATATTGATGCAGTTTGTTTGGTATTGAAAATGAGCAATATCGGTCCACGAGTTCGCGCCTAGCCCCCATATAAGGTCCCCTTCAGAAAACGACTTTAACGCTCATAACTATCTAAAAGAAGCAGCAATAGCGAAGAAATTCGACATAAACAATTTTTATAGGATCTTAAAATCATTGTAAAATTTTATAAGGATAGGTCCATAAATGACCCTATCCCCCATATAAGTCCCCCTCAGAAAAATGACATTAACGCTCATAACTGACTAAAAGAAGCAGCTATAGCGATGAAATTCGACACAGACATATTTTTAGGAACCTCATATCTTTGTAAAATTTTATAAGGATCGGTCCATGATTGACCCTACCCCCCATATAAGGTCTCCTTCTGAAAACGACATTAACGCACATAACTGTTTAAAATAAGCATCTATAGCGATGAAATTCGGCATAAACATATTTATAGGAACCTTAATATCATTGTAAATTTTATAAGGAACGGTCCATAATTGACCCTATCCACCATATACGGCCCCCTCAGAAAATGACATTAACGCTCATAACTGACTAAAGAAGCAGTTATAGCGTTGAAATTCGACACAAATATATTTTATAGGAACCTTAATATCTTTATAAAATTTATAAGGATCGGTCATAATTGACCCTACCCCCCATATAAGGTCCCCTTCAGAAAATGGCTTTAAGGCTCATTACTGTCTAAAAAGAAGCATCTATAGCGATGAAATTCGACACGAAATATGTTATAGGAACTTTAATATTATTGTAAAATTTATAAGGATCGGTCCATAA